AAAAAAAAAAAGATAAGGACAAATAACAAATACAAGGAAAAAAGGTTTTGGTAAAGCAATTTACCCAAGATTGAGACATATGAGCTTCCTTGCAACCTCAAAAGGTGACTGTCCTGTTTTTCAAGTATGGCAAAAGCAGTCAACATGTATTAACTAATAACAGTTGGTAAAAGTTTTTAATGCCTTTGTTTACCACTGCCTCTGACAAGTTGATGGGGAAAAAAGAGGTAAATGTAAAGCCAACAGCCTGTGTTACCCAGATCACAAGGGCAAAGTTACAAGAGTAAAGACAAAAAACTGCTTATGTGTAAATTTGATGCGGCCTTAATGCATATGAAAATATGAAAAAACAATGATCCAACTTCATTTTGCAGATAAATCATGCCAAAGGCATTGGATGTGATACATAAATGCAAACATATATTATTAAAGAATTTACGCAACATTTAAGGATCTAACTTCTCTAGAAAAGACCAGGTTAAAATGTTTCTTATGAAGATGTGAGCAACTCCTTCGGAAAGTAATACAATCAGCTACTCGATTTAACAGTTTTCTTAAGATCTGGGAAGCTGTTAGTCTGCTCGCTTGTGATAATCATAGGACTGAAATATGGAACAAAAGCAGGATAGCATTGACGTCCTAAGACGGGCCTAATCTTTAAAGAAGGTACTGAAGGAACACAACCCTAGGGAAAATGTCATTTTTGTAAGTTATAACAGTACAATATACAAGTTGTTTCAGATATTCAAAACAAATCAGAGTAATGTTACTGAAAGAGAATAATACGGATAGATGATTACATACCCATGTAAGTAACAACAAACAGATTATTATACATCTACTGCATGAGTGCAGATTGTGTGAACAAAAACAGATACAGCCCAAAGCATTTCACAAAAAGCTACTAGTTGGTTGACCGCTTGCGATATTCTTAGGAGCCAACCAGTTCTTATTGTTGGGTTACACTTACACCACATAATATCCATATGTATTTAGATGAAAGACTGTTAATCCAACCTGATGATGAATGCTACACAATATACTATCCTTCTAGTAAAGAATTTACACTAGAAAGATAATCCAATTTGAGAACTAGAAAGATAATCCAATTTGAGAAACGGGAAACTACGTACAGAGAAGTACCTATACTAATACTAGGAAGAATGGTAACTTAGACTGATTCTTGAATCTTAAGGTGCCACTTGATTTCCAAAAAATATAGGTAGCTGACGAACATAAAAGAGCGTGCATAGATTTTAAAGGATGTGTGTGTTTTGACATACACGATAAGTATAACCTAATAATTTACAGATTCCAAACAAATAGCTTATGGAGCTATCAAGTAAAGTATTATATTTTATACAAATCCCACAAAAAAAATACTGTCATTATAAATAGAAAGTTTGGAGTGGCTCACATCCAACACAAGCAGCAAGAACCGACCTTGTGCTCCACAAATGGCAACTCTTGCAAATCATATACCCCTACACCTGAAAGGCCCAAAAGTAACGCCCAAGATTTTAAGTAAGTTGAAAAGAAAGTGTATCATCAATCTTATCAATAAATGACAGCAATGTTTCAAACATTTCTATGTGCTAACAAGATGATAGACATTCATTCATGATGCAAAGCGTACTAGCAAGCGCCAAAGGGAAAATCTATTTAAGGTCAACAAGTCATAACATAATCCGTGGGGATCAAACTGCTGGAAAAGAACTTGAAAACAGCTAATAAAGCTCAATTTAGCTTTTTAATTGCTGAATTCAGTATCATAACTAGTCATAGGAGTTAAAGATGGAAGTAGTCACCATTTTTTAACTGGATAGGAAATGTGTTGGACCGCTGAATTCATTCTTTCCAGGAATAAGGAGCACGCTCGACAATTAAATAGTCCTGCCTAATATCTTTCACCACCCGAATTTCATCATCAATATAAACCGACTCAAACCTACATAGAAGATTATGAGTTAATTTCAGTTGCATGAAAGAGAACAAGAAAAACAATGCCATGATGACCACAATAACACGTCAAATTAATTTGAATTGAGAATTCCCTAGGGGGTCTTGTATCTTGTGGAATTGGTCAATACATCAAGCCAATGGTGTGCACAAAATATGAATGAAAATAGTTTATTGCTCTTCTTCAGGATATCATCATTTGATTTTGATATGTATAGATATTACCAAGTATCGAATGAATTTAATAGCATATTCGAAGAAAATCTGACTCCCGATCAGAATGAGTTCTGAGTGGTGAATATAATTCTCTTAATGTAATGAGAGAGTAATATAAGAAATGTCACTTACCAACCCTGACCAAATGGTGGCAGAGGAAACTCCCATCCTTTACCGCGGAGGACAACACTTGTAAATCTACAAAAGTAATATTCATAACACAAAGGCAATCCTTGATCCTTTAATCCTCAAGCAAAAACATAGTCGATGAATATACATTCAACAATTTTCCCCAATTTATACCATCTGCACCCAACTCAATTTCAGAGCTCATCACTTACAATAATTCTCTTCATCCAAGATACAATTCCAGTGGTTTTTAGAGTTCTAGACTGCTTTAGAAACTGCGAATAGTAAGTCTGCACTTTGTAACACCAAATAAACTATGGAGTGATATAAAAAATGGAAACAGCAACATGACCATCTCAATATATAGTTTAGGCCAATCAAACAATGTAGCTATTTAACACTTATACCTATCAAATGAACAGTCAAACAATTCAAAAATCAAGGATCTCATAGTCATTATCGTAATCACAAGCTATGACATATACAAACATCAAACATTGTAATGCAAGTCACAATAATCAAAATCAAGTAATGCAATACTAAACGTCTCTATAAATCAGATAGATTACTTCATCTCAAATAACAGCTCAAAACAAACAAACAAACAAAAGTCTTCCCAAAAAAATTGCTTAAGAGAAAACACTTGCCGAAAATTGACTCTTTGAGCTGAAGCGACCTGAATCTCCGACCGAACAAAAAACACACCGTCCGGAGGGAAAGTGATAACGTTGTTGAGAGTCTTCTGCTCGACGTTGATAACCTGCAAAACATCGCCAGCGGAAGTACCGAAAACCGGCGCGTTCTTCACGATGAAGAGCTGCTCCTTCTCGGTGGTCCACAGCATCCGCCATGTGTCTGAAAGCGATTCTCCGGTGGTGACGCTCCCGCGACTGGTGGCAGCCAGTGAATCGACGGCCTCGATTATCTGGGAAAGCCTCTGCGTGTCGGACTGTGTTTTGAGGCCGCGGTCCTGGTCGGCGATCAGGCGGAGGAGGTGGCGCTTGGCGTCGACAGACGGAGACTGCGATTGGTCGGTGCGGGACAAACGCGTGACCCTAGCGGATCTCCTTCGCGGGAGAGAGAAATTGGAAATGGCGGGAAGGGAGAGAGAGTTGGTGGCCATTTTTGAGTGTTTGCGGAGCTTTTTTTAGTGTAGTTTTGGAGAGAGAAAATCATAACTTCTACAATTATCCAAATATGAATGGATTGGATGGATGGGAGTCGGGGCGGGTCCCGAGACGCTGGAAGAATCTTTTCCGTACGTAAACGTATTTCTATTTCTTCCTTCTCTAAGGCAAAACCTAGAATGGCATAATTGTCCGAAGCAAAGTGAAGTCAGAAGTATTGTCGAAGTTCAGTCAAAAACTGGTGGCCGTCACCCTACAGGGGTGAGCCAGATGTCCCTTCCTATCTTCTTTTCCATCTTCGACTCTCTTTGATAAGACCGGTAGGATTCTACCCAAGTGAGCTAAGTTAAATCTTATATAATCGGACCTAATAGTAAAAGGAGTAATGGCGTGAAATGTCTATTTATTTTGACTATTTATATTTTTACAAGTCATTTTGCAAGCATTATTTTTTGTACAAAATTTTTTACTTTTCTACGCAATTTTTTAACCGACGGTTACAAACTAGAGAAGTTGTCCCCTTTCGATATTCATCAACATCTTCCCTCATTTATTTTTCTCCACAGGCACCCCTTTTCCCAATTTCTCTTTATTGGATTTTCCATTGCCCGTCACTAATAATCTGCTAACCGTCATCGGATTCTTCACAAAATAAAGCTCCGTCGGCGTTGTAATCTGAGGTAGATATATCGGATCAGAGACGAGAGGAAGGTGAGCATATTCGGCGTGGTAGATGAGACCTCGTTATCACGGAAGGACCGGAAGGTGTCAGGGGTCAATGACGATGCTTCGTCGGTAGTGCCGTCATCGGTGAACAAGTTGAAATCCTGGCCATATTCGCAGAGATATTTCGACATTCTGGTGAAGAGAAAGAATCCCCGTATGGCACCACAAGGAGGGTCGGTGAAAGTGGCGGATATCGGCGGCCAGATCTGGCCACGACTCAGGGATTAGGCGCAACAGCGGTTGCCAACGGCTAGTGAAGGGGTGAGAGGGCATGATTGGTGGTCTCGGCCAGATCGTCCGGGAGCAGGCGAGGCCTCGACACTTTTGCGTCGACACAGGGGTTACGAGTTGCAGATTGAATAGTGATTGAGACTAGATCGGCGTTTTTCAGTTGTGATGCCGATTCCAGGCTGAGGTGCCTTGTTCGATTTTTCTGAAATTTGTGGGTTGTTAAATAATGGTTTGTTGAGATGGTGATTTGTGTGACTGTTTCTTGGTAGGAATTCACATAAATTTGAATTGGTTGTGACATGGTTAATTTGAAGTTTCACTAAGTTGGTTTTTGGTTTCTAGTTGGTTGTATAAGTGCAAAATAATATTTTTTATACCAGTTTTTTTTCAATACAATCTGATTCGGGTGTATATTAGTTTAATATCTATATATATCGATTGTCAAAGAATATATGATATGTCAAAGAATGTATTATAATTTGTACCAAAAAAAAAAGAATGTATTTATATTATATTACTAGATTGGACCCGGCTGTGCACGCACAGCCGGCCCTAGTCCAGTCTATAATTATATCTATTTTTTAAAAAAAATTTGAAACACACTTACCCACATTTTATGGAGCAACCAAAATGCCACATATTTTTTGTTTGTTCAAAATGTTTTTCACATATATTTTTTTTTCAATAATTTTTTTACCACTCTTTTGACTCATTTGTTTGTAACATTCAAACAAATTTCTCAAAAAAAATTATACTCTCAACCATTCTCATTCCTCAGTTTATTTTGTAGGTGTACCATAAAATTGCCAATTTTTATAACCAAGCTTATGGATGTTTAGAAAATTTGGTCTTATATATTTGTTTACCTGCTCAGTAACAGCCAAGCAACCAGCAAGCCATCCACACCTACAGTATCTGAAGGAAGCCATTGGAGTGGGTTCCAACCTCACTTCTACGTAGGCCGCTAAAGCCATGCAAATAGTCACCACCATAACTCTCGCAACCAAAAGAAAACTTGGACTTCATGTTCTTTCAACATGAATGACTACTATGTGGACTGGAAGAAACTCATTACCATTCTTGACAAATTTTCCCAGTTTCAAGTCGTTTAAACTTAGAGGTAACAAATGAACTTTTTCGTTATTCAGTCGAAGAATCAGACAAATTAACTACTTGAACAAAAAACAAATCATCTTTTATCAACAAAGTAGATGAGATTTAAGTGATCAGAATTTAATTGAACTGTGAAATGATGTGCAATGGCTGCACCACTCACACCCCACCAAAAAACAATATGAATATCAAGTCGATAATTATATTCGCCAAATCCACTGCAACTGCAAACTCACATAAATATGAAATCAATTTAATGTTCCTGTATTTTCCAATCAAATATTTGGTAATGAAGGCGATGAAGAAAGCTAGAATATGAGCAAGTCAAATAAAAATTAATATACATTAAGAAGAAACATACATTTTTATTACCAGTAGGATAAAGAGGAGTTTTAGTATCCTTAAACCCGCGAAATACGCCTTACATGGCCAAGGAAAGAAGAACAATTGCTGCCCCCGCCGATCTCATTGTTATCTACGTTTGTGCAGGGGCTAGCATAAGCGATCCCAACCCCACTTTCCTCCAGCAGTTGTTTCACCAGAGCTGACACAACCACCTTCAGATGTCTAACCGAGAAACACATTAGAATGAGTAACAATTATGATATAAAACAAATAGTTTATCTGAGCAAATGCATTTTGTGAAATATAAACTACAAAATTGTGCCATCTTTAAGTTTCGAGTAAATTTAAAAGTTAAAAAGACACCACAGGAATTTAGCCGACAACTCGGTTATCTTTTCAAATTGAATATAGGCCCTTGACTGTTGTTCATCTATTACAATTTGTAACTTTAAGAGATCGGTTTTCTGATGAACTAAAACATAACAGGTAATCATTATTCTCAAATATAACTAGACTTTTTTTGTAATTTTGTAATTTGTCTTCACAATTTTCTCTTCTTTAAAAGTAATCATTATTCTCAAATATAGCTAGACTTTTTTGTAATTTGTCTTCAAAATTTCCTCTTTTAAAAATAATTTCATAAGCTTCCGTGTTCTTAGAATACTACAACTACAGATACATGCATGGTCAAGGGGAAGAGGGTCGAGAGCCCCCGTGCAGAAACTCACTTTAGCAACATCCTCTCGTTTGTTGACCAGAAACCACCAATCAAACTCTAGTTTGGGTGCTTTTGCTTGAAATGTGAAACAAAGAGTAATCTCTACAGTTATAGACACTAATGGAAGTCCTAATATATATAAAGAGTGAACGGTTTACCTTGGCCGATACCTCTCTCAGATTCCCAGATATTGCAAAATGGTTTTGTATCCGCGAAATGAAGGATCTCTTAAACCTCTGCCCATTGCCTGTAGAAATCATAAGCACAGTGGGTATAAAGAATGTACTATAAAAAGACACTTGTTCATATATTTTTGTGTTTTTTAACATAGAATAAATATACTATGGTTTAGAATAGCTATGAGAGGAAAAAGTTTAAACATTAGAAATTTTACCTTGGCAAGACTTCCTAATGAAGCCAACGGCATTTAATCACCAGGATATAATGGGGTACTGAGATCAAATATGCTGCAAAAGAGGATTATAATTCCATCACAAAGTATTACCCAATTAAATAAACGTGTGATTTCATTTTATAAATCAGGCGACAAACCTTCCGGCGCTACCGATGAAGTCTGCATACAGGTGCCATTGTTTAGGATCATCATAAAAAAGATTACTGAATCTTCCACCTGAAATTTGAAAAACAAAAATAAAAATAAATAGATATCTTCTCATTCGCATTATTTGTTTTTTCTTACATTTTTATGAATGCCAGACCTATGAATAAGCGCCCAAGAGCCAATGTCGTCCTTTGACTCCCATCTGCTCTCGCGTGCAACACACAAAAACACAAAAAGTTCCAGTTTAGACAGCCCACTAAAATCTTTTAACATGATGCAAGATTGACAAGATTTTCCTACTATAACACATAACAGATTTTTCCACATAATAATAAATCTTAACCTAAATAACGACAAAATGAATGACAATACAAACTGTTACCTAATGGCAGCAACTGAAGCTGCTGCTGTAGTTCCTGGAAAAGAGCCTACTCCAACAGCCTATAATTAGACTGCATAATTTCAGTAGTCAACCTTTGAGTACTAAGATATCTCTTCTCATAAAGCATGACAGTAAAGCCGGCCAGATGAGTTAACTGGTTTGTCGAGAATAATTTTTCATAGAACCAATTCAAAAATTCTTTAAAATTCAGTTAGAATTCATCACTTCTTGAAAGTACGAATCAACCAAAAAACTAACAAATTCGTTTTCAGAACAAAACGATATATTAGCAAAAAAATAATAAAATTAACATCCCGAGTTACATAACGTGCCTTTAAAAGACTGGACGTGACCAACGTATGACATATCTACCCTGTAACATTAGTTGGGAACTAAAGCAACATGTACTCCAAGAGTCCAAGTAATCACCCGAAACTGAATCTGCATAAAAATTCCAGAAATCGACAAAAAAACAGGCAACATTATCAAGCTCAACTCATATTATCACCTAAATTGTCAGAACATGTAAATTCAATAAGCAAGATGAATATAAACCCGCCTGGGAATCCATCAGGCAATATAAAATCTTTGATGACTTTAGGAAGCCAATATAAACCAATGGCAGCCTCCAAAGTACCCGACTCTTGAAACACGACTTTTTCAGGCTTTCGTTCCTCAATAACTGTTCTAACATGAGAATCACTTTCCACAATATATATGAATCACATGCAATAACATAAGGGCAATTGTGGCACTTCCGTAGCCAGAGTAGTGAGAGAAGAAATGAATTAACAACTAACCGAGAAGATAATCAAGTAAAAAATAGTATTGCCCAATGTGAACACATGACATCAAGCTTCAGTGTTTATCCACCACAGTTACACCTTTTGATAAACCTTCAGCAATTAAAAATATATACTTACTTCAGATGATAGGGAAATTTTTTCTTTACTTGCAATTATCTTCTCTTTTCAGAGCAATCCAATGTCGAGTAAATGTTGATTGTTAAGATACCCTAACATGTTTATATAAGCTTTTATAAACTATTTAAATACTTCCATTGTTAGACTAAACCTTTAGTAGTGATTTTCTAAGAATAATTGCTATCATTGCACGTTTTGCAGGCTTGAATAACAAAAACCAAGTTTACAAGATCTTAAATTCCCAAAAATTGCTTATTAATTATTATACATTGGGAGTTCACTCGCTAAAGTCCTCCAAGTGAAAACACCCTGTTTACGACAACTCTGAATGTACAATCTGTAATGGGCTATCAAAAATACATATTACACACAAATTGGCCATATTGTATCAAAACTGAATCTCAAGAAAACAAGCACAGAGAAGGTGAGATTAAGTGTTGCCTCTAATATCATTTATTTGCTTAATAAACTCTCAGTATTCCTTCTTCATTTTGGCTAAGATCACTTCTCAATTTAAAAATTCTATATTGTATTACACCTACTCACATACATCCTTAAATTTTATTAATATAACTTGTGAATTTGAGCTCAGTTTCAGCAAAACCCAAGAAAATAAAGTATAAGACTTCAAATAACTCTAGACTCTAGTAGACTGTGAAAGTGAAGTTTGTAGTTCATTTTACCTGCTGATATATGGCTTTGGTTCTGACAAAGATAGTCGACGGGCAGAAACATCATTGTACTCCACAATCAAAAGGTAGATGGGTGCATATTCATAGTTCATAATCGCCAAGATATCCCTCCACATTGTGTATAAACTACAAACAACATTCAGAAGCCTTAGCATCTCATCTAATTTCATGGAGTACATTTTTCTGTAACATCAAGTAATTAAAATTGTCATTGTTAAGCTCATAAGAATATATTCGAAAAATATGCATAACTGAATGGCAGGAAAAATAGAAAATTGTATTGAACAAACTTATCAGTGGGACTCAAGGTCGCGCATCTCTTAGTCGCCACGCTGCCGTGCTCCAGGGAGTTCACCGACCGTCAGGCGCAATACTGCTCGATGTTCTTTGTAGCTGGGCCGCCCCAGATATACGATGTCACCTCCTTCACTAAGCCGCCGGCTGTCGCACCGTGTAGTCGATCAAACGCCATCCGACCAAAACCGTTGGCCGTCACCGCTCATGAGCGCGGTCCGCTACATCCTTAAACAACTCGAACTTGTCGGTGTCGTGCATAATCGAAAAATTCGTCCCCACCGACCCCAACGTCGACGGCGGTCGATCCATCCAATAAAATAACCCCCAAATTTTGCAACAGCCCTCCAACTTTTATCGCCGCAAGATTCATTCTTTTGGGCGCTTAGGTTTTCGAAAAGCGAATGCAAAGAGGGGTTATGGTATCAGTGGGGAGGAGAAGATGAAGATGCGAGAGTAAGAAAAAATAGTGATTAGAGTTGGAGAGGGAGAAGAGAACTGGGGAGAACGTGATGGAAAAGACAATAGCTCTGTCAAAGTAAGAGAAGAAAAGTGTGGTAGGTGAAAGATTTGAAAGTTGCGTGCAAGAACCAAAAAGTTGTCAGAAGTCCTACAAATTTCGTGTAGAAGAAACATAGATTGTAAGATGTATTTGACGAAAATAAGTAAATAAGACAGAAAATGCAAATAAGTAAATAAAGTGTCCAAGCAAGGTCATTTTGGGAAGAAAATGACATATGTCAACACTACAATTGTCCTTCAATGTTGGGTTATATGTATTGTAGAGATAGAGATAGATAAAAAATGTATGTTATACATGTTTTTTTTTTTTTTTTTTTTTT